CCTTGGCGGAGGTCTGTGCTCTCCGAGTGCTCTAGTTTTGTATGTTTTACGCATTGTTGAGAGAGTGCGTTGTGGGGAGGCACGGCATGAATGTGAAACGATGTGATTTATATTAAATTACCGTGATTTTTTTCCTCTCTTCGTTCAGGGTACGTGTTATATGGAGCCTACATGTTTTCAATGGTGGTCGTGATGTTGAATATGCTCATTGCCATGATGAGTAACTCTTTTCAACAGATCCAGGTGAGATAGCTTGATTGGCGTTACGTTGCGCGCTCTGTGTTTACCGCCGATTAATTTATTTCACATCAACTCTTTATATTAAAATTAAAATCATTTAGAATTTTCTGCTGCGCTCATGTGTAATACAACGCTTCGACTGTATTTTGCTTTCATCCCAGAAGAACGTGAAAATATTCTACTGTACACGCGAATGTAATAGAACTACATATTATTCACTCCTGATATTATTATTTTTAACTACTAATACTACTACGGCTGCCGCTGTTGCTGCTGCTGGTACTATACTGCTGCTGCTGCTGCTGCTGCTACTACTACTACTACTACTACTACTACTACTACTATATGATTTTCGATACTCCTTCACGGCAGAATGACGAGGACGTAGAGTGGAAGTTTGCGCGCTCTAAACTCTGGATCAACTTCATCGAAGATGGCGACACGTTACCCGTACCCTACAACATCATCCCGAATCCCAAGTGGCTCATGAGATACTTGTACGCATGCGCGAAGAAGATTCAATCGTCGACAGACTCCGAGGAGGAGTCGCCGTCCGAGGATATGGCGTACGAGAATCACCTGGTGAGTGCGCGATCGCTCACGCACCCGCACGCACGCACGCACGCACGCACGCACACACATACACACACATATGGAATGGAAAAACAACTTTGTTGAGTTTTCAAACAAAAATGTGTATTTATTAACTCCTCATTATATATATATACACATATATATATATATATATATATAATATATATATAATGATATATAATATAATAATAAAAAATAAAAATATATATATAGCAAATAAATAGATAATAATAAAATAATTTTGTATATAGCAGCATAACGCTCGTTAAGGCATAGGATATTGCTGCGTGGCCGGCTGTCTATGTACATGAGGAGTAGAGCAACCATGACCCTCTGTAACGCTAGCCTATTTAAGGATGAACAGACAATCGCATGACCGTGCCTTCGCGGTGGCTTCAGCATTCGCTACGTACAAACATCCGCAGTTAACCCTCAACCTTATCATCAAGCAACTCTTCTTCCGTGTTCGCTAGCCGAGGTTTAATCAATTCGCTAGCTGTAGATGTCCGATGGATTACTGTGTACTGTCTGTGTGACTGTAACGAGAGCGACGACAACGACGACGACAACATTGCATGCATGCGTGCGTGTGTGCGCGCGTGCGTGTGTGTGCGCGCGTGCGTGCGTGCATGCGTAGGCGGGCATGTTCGTGCTCACGTGTTAGAAATCGGCACACATGTTTACCAATCGTATATGTAACCTGATTTAATTTCCGGGCCGTTAAAGCAACTGGAAGCATTGATGTCGTCAGTACAATGGACCGTGACGAAGCCCGTGCGCGCACGTACATATACGCGTAATCAGCACGAGCGTGCACACATACACACGCGCTTGATTATTACCCGCGTGTATTACTTCCCTGTTGACAGATTTCGTGCTCGGCTAAGAATTTCAACGTACAGCGCGAAATGTCACAAGTGATTGCCGTTTGATAGGGCATCACGGTTAACCACCCCGTATACATACACGTACGGCTATAGCCTGCCCACACCGCACGATTCCGTAAGAATATTCATTCCCGCTCCAGCGTTACGCTGAAGTACCACTACTGCCGATTGCGCAATGTCACAACAGCAGGTTGCCTATCATGTACGGTGCATGGCTACCAGCTCTCCCCCGCCAGCCAGTCAACGCATGCTGCTGCTGCCACTCTCGTTACCGTAGGAACATGCAGAGTCTACATAACGCAGCATAGTTTATAGCTTGTAGAGGGGTCATACAACAGTAGCTTTCCCTTAATTGTGCGCTATTTCGTCTCTGGAAAAGGCGTTCCTTTGGATTTTTTGGCGGTAAAATTTGGCACCAGAATGCACTCATTTGCACTATGCCCGCAAGGTAAATGTCTCGTGGACGCCTAGAACGCGTGAGAAGTGACAATGGTCTTGGCATGTAATTGTGCCATCTTGTCAAGTGGAGTAGCCTTGGTGACACCAGTCCGTCGTTTTTCGTGTTTGAAACGGCATCCGACTACTTGCTATAAATGCGCATGTCACTACCAGCTGTAGTCACTGCTTGTGGTCACTACATGTGGTCACTGCTTGTGGTCACTGCTTGTGGTCACTGCTTGTGGTCACTACATGTGGTCGTTAGGTGATGAGGCGTTGCTAGAGCTCTGTGACTCGAACGCAACTTGGCGCGTACTTTTTGTTATTAAAATTCTGAATTTCTTCTGTTTTATGAAGAGAGTCTTCCGTGACACTAATGAGCTTTTCATGTCGCACATGTTGGCGGTCGCGCCCACATGCCGCGTGCTTCACGGAAACCTGCGCAGCCACCGTAGAGAACACGCGGACCTTGACATCATCGCGACGTCATCGTTACCACATATTATGTCACATAATATCAGGGGTTAATAATGACAACTTTGTCATTATTAGCCCCTGATGATAATATGCATGTGAATATGTATGCAGATATCTGTGATCGATACACGTACAACGGGTGCTATTTTCCGTGTGTCGTCAGCTCGTCACGATGCGAGTGAGTGGCCTTGATAAATATTTATTAAAAATTGCCAACCACGCTGCGTACACTTTCGGGTCAACAGCCGCCGCTGATTGAATATGTGCACGCGACATAGGCTGCGTTGGTGTAAGCTCTGCACAGCTTTAGCACTGCTTCTTAGATCAGGCATCAAGACGAAAGAAAGGACGTAGGCGGTGAATGTAGTGACGGCGAGGTGTAGTCACTATATCGATCATTACAAACACGCGGCTACAGCGTTTCTTGTCACAATATGGCGTATAATACTGGCTATTAACATGACGTAATGTCGTTCGTATTTCAGTATAGAAGTCCAGGTGTCAGCACTGAGACTCTAGGGGGCAGCCTCCGCTCTCTACCAACGACAAAGTACAAGGTATATATATCGGGAGTGCATAGTTGAAGCATATACGTATCAATTATATATATTCTATTATTGATGGCAATATGGTTGGAAATTAAGGACGCACGCACGTGCACACTGCACACACACACGCCCCCCCCCCGACACACACATCACCACCACCGCAAAACAACAACAACAACAACAACAACAACAACAACAACAACAACAACAACAACAACAACAACAATAACAGCAGCAGCAAAACCGACAACAACAACAGCAAAAACAACAACAACAACAACGCCGCCGCCGCTACCACCACTACCACCCTTTCTTCCTCTTCCCCCTTCCTTTTCCTAATTCTAAAGTTGCTCCTGAATGTTTTACACCATCAAATGCGTTTTAGTGTGGTTACCATGGTAATATCACGCGAGTTGCGTCGACTGTTGTTTGCGGTGGGATTTTGCAGTTTTATTAAATTTTATATCCGAGTTTATCCATTACGATATCGATCGTCAATCGTTTCTCTGTCATCTGGTGTTGTTTATACAACCGTAATTAGCGTGCTAGACTTCTCCTACCACAGAGTAAAACCAGAAATATTACTAATCTGCCTAGACTGACAAAACATTTTTGCATTATATTAGTTTTTATACGTTGTAGCAATGTTTGCATGCGATCAAAACATTCAGGGAGAAGGGTTAGGGTTAGGGTCAGTTACAAAAACTTTCGCATTAGAAACTCAATAAACACAATATTAATATTAAACTTTTTAACACAATATAGATCAATATAGATTATTATAATCGATACTTGAAATTCAGATAGAGTTATACCGAGGCATAGTTAGATGAATATTCTAAATGAAATATTAGAAGTATTTTTGGTTCTGCCGTCTAACGAACTGTAGTATCAACATTATTAATTTCAAATATAAGCACAAACGTGGATTTTAATTTTAATTGCAAATCTAAAAAGGTTTCCATGGCGACGCCAATTTACGGTGCACTTTGCGTACGGAAACGTGTGTTATGAACAAATATTAACAATTATTAGATAAGCGTATTTGTGGGAATGAACATACCGAATAAAATTTGTCGTAGTACGAGTATAGCGCTATAATTTGTGATTTTCTTTTGACTGGGATCTGAAAAATGGCATTTTTTTTACCACGGACACTGAGAGTAACCCTCCCCCCCACACACACACACACGCACGCACGCACGCACGCACGCACGCACGCACGCACGCTTGCACATAATACACACCACCACCACCACCATCCGATTCCCATTCATATATGGCTTTTGCGTTTTAACCGTGAGCTTTGTTTGTGATTTTTGCAGAAGATCATGCAGCTGCTCGTGCGGCGCTACATTCACGGAGTCGCCTACTCGGACGAGTCGAACAACCTGCTCATAGGTGAGCTCGCAGCGCCATCGCTCGGACACTCGCAACATTTATGTGCATGCATATATGCGCGCAGCCAGGCGCGCTCACTCACGAACGCACGCGTATGTATCAACGCACGTATGTACACGTGTTCATCATGGCAAATACTCGCGCATATGCACGCACGCACGCACGCAGCATAGCGGGAAGCACTTTCATTGCGTTTGCGCGAATAATCGAATTTCCTCAGAAATTAACGTCGACAGAATTTCATTGCTTTCAGAACAAGTGTATGGGCCCAATTCTGCAAAACCTGGTAAAAATACGAAACGATTGTTATCGTCCATGGATTCGGTTTTCACGGGTATGCATCCTAGTCATCCCTCACAATGCATGATATTCAACGGGCCTAACAGGGCCTATTCTAGCAGGAAACATACTACTTTGTAGATGCCTTCCATGCAGTCGTAGCTGTATCGAATACTTTTATCTGTAGTGTAGCTTTTTCATAGGCTATTGCTGTTATCATAGATATATACTAACACATGTGTTTGTATAATATCTATACTGTTATGTAGCTTATATAGCTTAGGCATATTTCTTGCTATTACGCAATCAATTTCAATCCTCAAGCGGGTGAGATCACCAGCTATCAGCGCTAAAGACAATCAGGGCATTAGTCTGGGTTGCGATTAGCTTTAACCATAGATATATTATACAAACACATGTATTTGTATATTATATCTATGCTTTAACCTACCCATATTATACAAACACATTTATTTTTATATTATATTCTGATTATACAGGATACTTCCTCAGCGAATTCAATTCTACCCTGATTGCAGGATACTTGCTCAGCGAGTGCCGACAACTGTATAAGTCCGGCATCAAGGATTACTTGTCCGATCTGTGGAACTATCTCGACTTCGCGATGCTTAGTCTATTCACGGCCGCCTATGCCACACTGGTCGCCAGCATGGTGAGCGCGTGCGGACATGACGACGGCATGCAGATGATAGACTGTCTGCAGGCGACCGTCGGCGTCTTCAACATGACTGGTGAGTGGTGACGAGCGGTGACCGGGCTCATCGCGTCTGAGTCTTTTCTGCCGGTGACCATGTCAAAGGGTAGCAGCTGAGGGACTTGTTGACGTCTCCGCGTGCGGCACGCGCTAATGTTGTTGTTGTTGTTGTTGGTGCTGCTGCTGCTGCTGCAGCAGCAGCTTCTGATTTACACGGTATAATCATTAGCGAAAGATGATCAAAAGTATGACATAACTTATCGTGTCATGTTCTTCTCAGTGTCGCACGTGTCAGGGCTCCGATATAGCCAAGGGCTCTCTCGTAGCTCATGTGGTGCGCATGCAAGAGAGTTGCGTACAACCCACGGCTCACGTATACCTAAGAGCTCCCTATAAGGGCTCCCAATACCATGCATGTAAAGGGCGTGCGAGGAACAAGAAAATCACATACAACCTATTGCTCTCGTATAACCAAAGGCTCCGCTTATAGCGCACAGCTCCGAATCAACCTACTAACCACGCACATTGTTCACTATACTCTTAAGGGCCGGACACACTAGGCGATTAAATCGGGCGATGAAATCGACCTTAAATCGCCTAGTGTGTCCACTCAATCGCCGCCGATTTCATCGCATAGATCAAAACGTTTTGATATTATCGGGCGATTTTGTCGCCAGATTTTGTCGCCCGATTTAATCGCCTAGTGTGTCTGGCCCTTTAGTAATATCTGTAATAGTAATATGTAATGTGTACCACTATATTGGCCAATGATTTGTATTCGGCTGAAATAACAGGCGCTCTACTATGAGAAAAATAACTGGTGCTCTAGATCTGCATTTGCTGGATTTTATACTATATTACTATATGTTCTAATATAATATAAGGCGCTCCACCATTATACTAATCATTTATATAGCGTTCCCGCCATATAAAATACAATAGAATCACTAGTATTGATCCACGGTCACATCACTAGTACAGTTACACGATGCATCAGTATGTGTCATACATGAGCGTCGATGCATCCGGCAGTCGGTGGTACATACAATCAGGAGTGAATAATAATAGATCTATTAACCGAATAATAATAATAATAATAATAATAATAATAATAATAATAATAATAATAATAAATCTATTATTATTATTATTCACTCCTGATACGATCATTCAGTGTAGGTTACGGTATAGCGTTGTTTGTTGTTTGTCAGAGTTGAAGATAGCGATGGACATGCCACTGATGCACTTCAACGCGCTGTTCGCCTTCGCCACCGTGCTGTCGTTCGCGCGCATCACGTACTGGCTGCCCGCCAACGAGCAGGTAGGAAAGAAGCGACGGAGGAGGAGGAGGAGTTATATTATATCTATGCTTTAACCTAACCATAGATATATACAAACACATGTATTTGTATATATCTATGATTTAACCATGTGGCTCTTCGCTCCCGCTACAGGCAGCGGGAACGGAAGTCCCCTCCCCCTCGTGGCGGGAGCAAAGGACCACACTGGTAGAGCTAATTTAAGGTTGATTCACCAGGTGGTAGCACCAGCTTTATTATCATCGGATTGCCTGAGCATTTTTTGAAATGCGTGTTCTGGCTTTACGTTCGACTCCAAACCCCACGACAGATGGCGCTCTCGCTCATGGGCGTCCTGAGTGTGAGAAGGGTGGGCACTGCATGCAGTTTGGTTTGACTCTAGCCAATAGCATGTGTCAAGGCAGCGGCCTCTGGATGACTCTTATCGCCTCTATCTCGCTCGTCTATATTGTAGAGGTGCTAGTATAATAGCACATTTGTTAGGCTTGGCTTATAAAATAATAAGAAAGATGAATTTAAGTAACTATATAATTGATGCTGCATTATGGTTCCTTTTTTCTTCTCATTGATAACTTTATTCAACATCGTAAATATGAATAATGGAACAATAATTATGATTATGTAGCGTCTTTACACTTGCTTGTCCTTATAACATTGCTTTCTGATTAGATAGACCTTCACTCTAACCATTCCGTCTGGTCGAGTTTTTTTCTGAATTCCTTTATAAGCGTACGTAACGACAGCTGGGTGGTCGCTGAAGATACGTCAGATGCCGTTACGCCATCTAAAAGTTAAAAGTTGAGGGTGCAACTGTTTTGTCCGCACGCAGACGTTATAACTCCGCTTTGCTAATCTGAGGGTGAGGGTTTAACAGCACCATTACTACTCCAACAGATCCATTACTGGGGTCTGCGTCGGCTCGGACTAGCAACTGTTGTGCGTGCCGAATTCTAACCAGATTTATGAGAATTTCTCTTACATTCCTAACTGTTACGAAGATGTCCGCGTGCCAGCATTTAAAACGCATTTAAAAAAGGCGTTCTGCAATATTGATACGGGTGATGAGGCAAAGATTAATTTTTCGTGATACACACAGTGTGGTGTTAGCAGTGGTGAGGGACCGAGGAGTTTTAGCAGCCATTTAGGCTTTATTAACAGATTTAGGCACAGCGTAACACGTCGTCACACATTCGTGTTGCAGATTACAGTCCAACTGGTGGCCAGGATCACATTCCGCACGTAGGCCCTCACGACCACGTCACCTCGCCCAGTGTTAGCTCTCAAGACCATCTCGGCAACCCTCCGCCGAAAGAAAATGGAATCATGCTTTCTGTGTCACGTCTATAAGGTTTTAGTAACAGCACCGCATGTACACGCAGGGCGGATTTAGACATGGTTAGGCCCCAATAAAGCTAAGCTATATTATAATATATACATATATATATATAAACTATGGGAAGCTGTAGAGGCCCTATTTGGCAATTGGTAACAGAGAATAAGGCTTGTAACAACTGAACTTAGCAAGAATGCCACGTTAATTAGGTTAAATCATTACTTAATATAAATTATAATAAAACTAACAAATGAAAAAATCGGAGATTTTGAGAGGGCCCTTCAGACTTGAGGCCCCAAGCTGTAGCTTGTTTAGCTCATGCCTAACTCAGGTCCTCACCGCACGCATAAATAGGCCTGTACCGTAGTACTATGCTTCTTGGAGACCCTATTTGGCCGTATACGTGTTGTTATTGTAAGCCTACTATCTACTAGAATCAAATATACTCATACAAGTGTATTATAATTGTGGCCACATTAACTGGAAAGCTACAGCTTCAATTCATTAAGGTATTTCACGGTTTGGTGAGAATACACTGTAGCGCCGTACATGAATTGGCTCTCTTGGGCTCTTGTTACGTTGGTGCACTGTTCTTAAGATTCTCTATCTTACTGTGATGCTTAGTGATATAGTGGTGGGGAAAACCTGCAAATGTTGTCACCAGTATTGGGAAGACATGGAGAAACATTATTAAGCAAATAATTAATATTATTGAACTAAAATTTGAGATGGAAAACAGATTGTGGGATCCTTAAATTGATATAAAAACACTTAAGAATCTTGCATCCAACTGAACCTTATTTGCACACAGCATGAAAATTATTCACTCATGTAAGATGTAGCCTAAAAAATGCTACCAAATCATTCTCGTAAACCAGTTGCATATCAGTCTGCCGTGAAAAAAGATATTAGATTCAACGTGACAACGCTTTGAGAAAGAATTACGAAGCGACCAAATAATATAAATCTTACATTAAATTTGTTTAAAAGAACAATTTGTCATTGATGTTGCATAACCATAAGAATATTTTTGTTAGTACACATTCGTCAGCTGTCAAAACAACTCGACAGTGAAGTGTGTGTGTTGTATGACATCTCAGTATGTGTAAGGAAGGGAAGAAAGCAATTGAATAATTAATTAATTGCAAGCATTGGGCAATGTATATATTGATAGTGTGCATATATTTGCTGATGAATCTTTTTTCACTGTATATTTTATACACCGCTTACTTTTTGCTGTTCATCTAAAATAAATTGCATCAGTGTGTATTTGCTCAAAATGCCTGTTTGCTTACTTGTAAAAAAATGCAACAGAAAGAAGCACAGGAAGAAAAGACAGGACACCATGACTATAACATCACATAAGCAAAGGTCAGCAATAAATCTTTAAGGAACAAAACTTCTTTGACAACTTGATTTTTTATTTACTTGACTCTTCAGTGCATAATTTACACGGATTCCTGTATAGGTGGCTCGAAACCATCCGTGACCCTCTCAACCTTGGTGCCTTCCTCTCCCGGCTTTGAAGTGGTGGTTGTTGACGACCCTTCTCCATGCAACTCCATCAGCTTGCCCACTGTAAATGCATAAATAACAGTTATACCAACTATCAGGTAGAACCTGAATCCAAGGGCGCGTTTGTTTGGTCGGGATCCACGGATCTCGATCCAATGGATTCGTTGATCTGACTGTTTGTTTGGTCGGATCACTTGATCTCGATCCACCAAACCCGACCCTGCTAGCGAGTTGGATTCGAACAGGATCCAATATGGCGGCCCGCGCCTCAGCCAATCACTGCTTGTTCTTTGTTATGAACCATCCTGTGATAGGTCACAACGAAACGTGAACCAGTGAAAGTGAGTTTGCGTTTGTTTGGTCGGATCAGGATCACATCATCTCGATCAGACAGATTCGTCCCAAACAAACGCGCCCCCAGAATGCTTGGCCATTGTCTGAGTGAAAACATCTACCTTGTGATAATATCTCATAATTTTACCATGCCCAAGATATGGTGTAGAAGCATAGTTACTTAGTATGCAGAATGGCTATTCTCTTATTCAAGCTGTCATTTGACATTACACGCGGCAAACATCTTGGCAAACCATTAATAAATGCGAAGGTTTTAACAATAAAAAAGTTGCTCTTGTATAGAGCTAGTATGTTTGTAGAACCATTTATTACCATGAGCAGAGGTTTAGCTAAAACAACATACAAGAATGAAATACTTACAATCGAACCTAGGTTTCTTCAGCACCTTCACCTTGCGGATGTACACATCGTGGAGTGGGTAGATGCCCTGGCAGGCCTTCTCAATGTCCTTGCCTATGCTGTCTGGAATCCTACAGATAAAAATCACAAAAAATACAGTTACTACGTAGAAACCAGCATGCACACACATGCACCCATACCAACATCTACACCTCCAAGATTGTAAATGTCTGGGGCCTGTTTTACGAAGCGTAATTAAGTCCTGAATCATGATTAAATCACTAATCATGATTAACTTTCCGTACTTAAATTGAAGTGACTGTTTCACAAAGCGTAAATAACTTTAATCATGATTAAGTTAATCACAATATTTAATTCTACTCAGGAGCATGATTAAATCCACTAATCATAATTAGTTGCTAGTACTAGTAGTAGTATGTAGGTACTACTAGTATATAATATTAAGTACGCTGCAGATTTTACAATTGGAAATTTTACTTCATTTTTTCCCCAAGGAAATTTCAATTATCTAGGATTAGCTGTACTAATTTAGTCATTATAATTGCAAATTAATTCCTTTTCATGTACCGAATTTGCAGATACTTTTGGCGTTGTCCGCCATTTTGAATACAGTATAAGTAAGTAAAAACTTTATTTAACGACGGTAAAACATGTTTGGTACAGACACATTAAATTGGCGCGGACCTATCTTCCACATGGCCATCTCACAGCAACAGAACGGTTAAATATTAAATAAATACACAATAAGAGTTGAAGTAGGCCTACTTGGACTAAAATTGTACGGGGTAAGTAGAGCAGAATGGGCCCTATTGATAGGGCAAGATTTTCTTTAGACGGACTTTAAAAGAAGAAATGGTGGGGGCATCTCGAATGATGTGTGTAATTCATGTTTAAGTCGGCTAATTATGATTAGTTAAAAATGTACTTAAATCGCTTCGTGAAACAGATTTTAAGTATGATTAACTAATCATAATTACAGGTTAATTATGATTAGTGAAGTTAATCACGCTTCGTGAAACCGGCCCCTGATGTGTACACAGGCTGCATTACTTATACTGTACGACACATACGTCTTTCATAACAAAACAGAATATCATAGCCAGCAGCAGCACAGTAATCAGCGTATAAGATTTTCCATCAGTCTCCGGCAATTAAAATCACACAGTCCTTAGTTTTTGCAACACGTCAGTCCTATCGATCCAAATGTGTAATTATATCATATAGACACTCATTTGGGAATTTCTCATCATTCGTGCTGCATGTTATTCATGGATAATGATAATGTTTATACAACTAGAATGATTGTCCCAGAGACCGACTAATAATACCCCCCCCCACCTCGCTTCAAGCTGTTATGGTGCCTGTGATGTGTGAGAGCACGACTGGTTACGCTCATCTGGAACCGCCGGCGATTGTATGGCAAAGCAGGTTGTATTAAGGATACTCTCAACCTTTTGCACGGGTATTGCTCTAATGAAGATTAAACGTTTATTGACGAATGAATCGAAGGAGATCTGCTCGCAAGGCTGGTGTAGGACAGACAGACAGATTCCAGTATACCCCCCCTCCTAACATCGTTTGCGGGGGTATAATAAAGTTCATACACACGAACACACACCAACACGCATACACTTACAGCTTGTTGACAACTTCCTTCAAGTCGCTATTAGACACCTCTCTCGTGATAATGTCGACCATCTTGCGGCGGATGTTGACGACCTGGGTGCTCTGCGCGTAGCAGGTCTTCTTCATCTGGTCCTGCCTCCTCTTCGTGAAGCCGAGGCAGAAGACACGCAGCTGGTAGCCATCGGTCGTCGTCACGTTGACGTAGGCCTCGATCAGAGTCTGAAAGACAATGGCGACAGTCGATGTCAATGCTCGTGGCAGCTCCCACTAGGATGTCAATTTATACAGCCAAACCGTCGTTTATTTTTGCAACACGTCAGTCCTATCGATCCAAATGTGTAATTATATCATATAGAAACTCATTTGGTAATTTCTCATCATTCGTGCTGCATGTTATTCACGGATAACGATAATGTTCATACACTATAGTTAAAATGTTAAAAGCAACACGATTACACTTTCAACTCAAAATTTACACAATAGAAGTAAAAGGCTCCTTGCTCCTCAATTACCTGCCACTTCTTGACCATGGATCGCAGTTTGTCAGTGGTCATGTCCATGCCGTGGAAGTTGCAAAGCACATTACGGCCTTGAACCTCTTCGGAAATCAGACGAAACTTGCGGAATGCTACTTCGTCATTCTGCAGATCTGCCATGGACACCTCGAACACACGTCCCTTCAGGCCCTCAGAAGCAATTTCTGTTAAGAACAGGGATTAATTACAACTGCTCTACAGAGATCCTGCAAACAAACTACTCAGGTTGAAAGCTAGGTGGCCAATGTCGACCATTCACTTTAAAAGTTGCAAGTTCAAAACCCAGCCAGGGCAGTGACTTCTCACGGCGTTCAAACAAATTGCTATCTACATTGGGGGACTATGAATCGCTCACAGCTTGATGACCACGTTAAATGTAGGAACACATCTCCAGTACTCGGGATGTAAAACACTGGCAATGGCCACCCTCAGTGTCTGTAATGATGTTGATCTGGTGAAGTGCTGGGGGCTAACTACGATGAATGAGAACTCAACTTCTTACCTACACAGCTAGTTATCTACATGCAGATGAACTGCCTTGCCTATGCCCTGTGCATGTGGTACACTAGCAGGGCAGGCAGAGAGGCTGGAGTAACCAATCGTTTTTTACAGGATATTTAGTCCTGTAAAGTTATATTGTTACAGGACCGGTAGATTTTTCGCCAGACCGGAATTATTCCCAGCATGTGAAACATTAGCTCTAGTACTATAGCCCGCGTACAGTTGCCGCAGGGCTATAGAACATTTTATGCTAGGTTTCGCAACTGCACCTGTTCCCCAAATCTTCCATGAAAAATCGCTCACAAAACGCAAAATGATCGAGCTTTTTAACACTATAGTCTTATCTACATGGACATCTCACCTATCTTTTTGAACACTTTCCACAACTTTACACCATGTATTTATGCATTTATTCCTCAAAGTGCTAGCACTATTTGCGTCAGCCTATTACATTTCTGGTGACGTCACGCGTGTACACAACAGCAATTCAAAACGAAACGCAAGTAGTGCTAGCACTTTGAGAAATAAATGCATAAATACATGGTGTAAAGTTGTGGAAAGTGTTCAAAAAGATAGGTGAGATGTCCATGTAGATAGATAAGTGTTAAAAAGCCCGATCATTTTGCGTGGAAGCTTTGGGGAACAGGTCCAGTTGCGAAACCTAGCATAAAATGTTCTATAGCCCTGCGGCAACTGTACGCAGGCTATAGTACTAGAGCTAGTACAACATGTACCTTATATACCATATATATATATGAATCAATTGAATCAACTAGAAAAGGCAGTTGTCGCCAACTACATGTATCCCCCGTGATCTAATATGAATGAAATATCTCTGTAATGGTGTAGAAGGTATGTAAAGTTAAATAAGTCACAAAGACAAAGGTTTGTTACACAACTGATCTGCCTGAGATGTGCAAGTATGTTAAAATTGGTTGCCTTAGGGGTTTTGGTACGCGACACACATTCTCCCCAAGATGTGTCAGTATACGAAGTTTGCTCGCGCTAGGTCAATTAGGGGCAGAGTTATAGAGCGGAAAGGAAATATGATCAAGGTCAAGGTAAAGGTCAATAAAGGGTAACTACTAGAATAAACAGCCTCGGTTCTCCCTACGCGTTTCGCCAAACGCGGCCCGGTTCGAAACTCCCCCCTGTTTGAATTCGTTGCGTCCATTGCCACAACGGCGCCCGTTTAAATTCTAGCCACAATAAAAGTTTTTGCCAGCGAGTGCCGGAACTCCGATCGATTCGCAAGAATTGTCCGTTCGACCAGGACATCCACTCCGCGCGTGTATTTTTACCGGTAGCTACGGCGATGCACTGCCAGTACAGTACACAAGTTAACCTGACAAGCACAGTTAAGTGCTGCTCACTTAACTCGCTACAACCGCAGTCGGCTTCTCTACTATATACAAGAACCTCCACAATACAGTCTTGTGTGATGTGGCGATTTTACGCACTTAATTTAAGTCGTACGGATAAAATACCAACGCCCCCCGGACCCCTAGTTCCCCCTCCCTTGCTCTCCCCCTGCCCCCCTTGTTGAATTTCACTCCTGCGCGGAGAAACCCTGCTAGTTACTTATTACGCAACAAGCAGCCAGAGTGTACCAAATAACACCAACAAGCTTTAAGAACCTAATTGCTCTATTTTAGTATTTATAAATTATAGCTACTAAAATGCTCCTTGGTCGGCATTGGGGCCAACGATGATCGATTAATTGTATCCCCCGTGCGACGCGATTAAGTCGGGATCACGGAACGGATACTATTTTCGTGTCGTGTCCGAGCCCGCCACCGCAGAACTTGTCCCTTCCGCTGACTATAACCTCGCACCCCTATTGCGCACCATAGCCGTGACCAAACTATGGTCTAACTTATCACATCTGGGGCGAGAAAGGCGTGCGCACACGTACCAAAACCAGGTCACTTACGACCTTTATTGACCTTGACCTTGATACTATCCTCGTTCTCAACCCTCCCCTCCTATAACTCTGCCCCCCTAACTTGACCCTCGTCCCCCGACCGCAAGCCCACAAAACTTAGCTATCGATACCCTTAACCACATACTCTGGAGCGAGCAATAGACGTGCCTGTCCCGCGTACCAAACACCCCACTAAAAGACAACCCAAACATTTTAACGCCATACTTACAGGCATCTCATGGCAGAATCAAGTTCTGATTAGTAAACACAAAAACCAATTTGCCTTCTTTGTGACTTATTTAACGCTTTAATACCTTCTACACCCATGTACAGAGATATTTTCATTGCCATCCATTAGACATCAAGCGGGGGCGATACATGTAACCTGTTGACGAAAACAAACTGTCTATTCCTCTAGACTTGCATCAAATTGATTCGCAAATACACTAACTATATACCTCATATATAAGGTCATATAAAACCGGTCACATGTTTCACTAGCCTCTAGCGACTTATCGCCCTTGCGTACAGTTAGCCCGCAGGGCGTAATAGAACCATTTATGGCTTAAGGATCTTCGCAACCTGGACCTGCTCTCCACACCCACAGCACCTCAACTCACCAGCCGCAAAAACTGTTCGGCGACTCTCTTTCCAACAGCACTACATAATCTCCACTTTACTACCGCACATGCACCGCAACCCATCATCACCCTTTAACTCTTTTTGAACACTTTCCACAACTTCCTCACACCACGGCATGTTCATATGCCATTCTATTTCTCAACATGCTAAGCCGACTACTTGCGTATCTCGTGATTTCGAG